AATATCTTTACTTGCTTTCCTAGGAGTAGTGTTAGACTGTAAGGAAAATTCATTCATCAATATATCATACGACCCTTGATTTTCAAGGCGCCGGAGCACCATCTCTGTTGTTCGTTCCCTCACCCCATATATCATACAACCGTCGTTCCCTGAGCGACACGCTGGAGCACCGCCCAAAACCCACCACCAACACCATCACTCAACGGCCTTGTAGTTCAGGCCGTGAACCTAACAGCCGAGACTAGTTCCTCTCTCGGCTACAATCGTTTGATTAGAAGATGAGTTCAAACAGGCGCATCACTGATCCATCTTACACTCATCAACATCTCGACGCACGGTAGACCGTGCTGGCACGCCCGCGCACAACTGCACCGCACCCGAAAGCAGGAAACCGCGTGTCAACGCACATCCCCTCGGCCCTGAACTCCAGGCCGTGAGATTTGCGCGGCAGACAGAAACTGGTGGAAGTGGAGCTGAAAATGAAGAATCTGAGGAGGACACTAAGATAATAGAGTCCACTTATGGTACATGAGAGAAATATGGAGGCGTATGCGGGGGATAACAAGGAGTAGACAATGAGATAGGAGCTTGAGAAACTACCTTGTCCTTGGATTGTCTTGAAGGAAAAAGAGACTCATCGAAGAGGACATGTCGAGATACAATCAGTTTATTAGCTTGAGAATTAAAGCAAATATATCCTTTGTACTGAGAAGCATATCCAAGAAAGATGCACTGAGTAGTTTTAGCTTGTAGCTTAGTATGATTATAGGGCTTCATCAATGGATAGCATGCACAACCAAATATCTTGAGATGAGCCAGAGATGGAGAAGAGCCAAACAATACCTCAAATGGTGCATTCATAAGCAAAGGTTGACAGGGCAATCTATTGATCAAATAAGCAGCAGTAGCACAAGCATGAAACCAATATTTCTCATATAAAGCTGCAGTTTGTAATAAGGTGATGGCAGTTTCCACTAAATGTCTATTTTTGTGTTCTGCCAATCCATTTTGTTCAGGTGTATATGGACAAGATCGATGGTGTAATATGCCTTTAGAAGCCAGAAACTTTTGAAACTAAGTGCCAATATATTCCCCCCTTCCATCACTTTGCAAAACTTGAATAGAAGTATCAAATTGATTCAGCACATAAGAGTAAAAGTGCATAAAATGAGTATAAACCTCTGATTTATTTCTTAAAGGAAAAAATCCAGGTGTAGCGAGTACATGCATCGATGAAAGACACATAGTACCTAAACCCTTCAAGAGAAATACAAGGAGCTGGACCCCAAAGATCACTGTGTATGATGTGAAAGGGTTTCTCAGACTTAGTATGAACTAAAGGAAATGGCAACTTAGTAAATTTGCCCTTCAAACAGGCTTCACAAACAGCAGAAGCAGTAGAAGTTGTAGAGAGACCAGAGTGATCCAATGCAAGTTGAGCAACCGAGTTAGCAGGATGGCCAAGCCTGCAATGCCATAAAGCTGAAGTAACTTTCTTCCCAAGGAAGGCAGTAGAAGAAGCACCAATGTTGAGAGGCCGAGGCATGGGGTAAAGCCCATTACTGCTCAGTCCTTTGTAAAGAATGTTCCCTGTGACTGTGTCATGTATATAGAGGCAAGTAGCATCAAAGATGCATCGACATTGATTTTCCTTACACAATTGATTAATAGACAATAATCCAGTAGATAATTGAGGAACATGAAGAACTGAGTTAAGTTTGAAAGTATGATTAGGAGTGGAAAGAGTAGAAACTCCAATATGCGCAATTGCTAAACCTTCACCATTAGCAGCTATAATAGCATCAGAATTAGAATAAGGCGTAGGAGCATACAGAGTAGAAATATTCGTAGTCATATGGTTTGTAGCACCGAAATCTACAATCCAAACTTCATGATGAGGAGAAGAAGAAACTTGAGTAGACATAGCATTCATCTAAGGAGAAGATGAATAACTATCACGAAAATGACATGTAAGAGCCGTATGATTGCGCTTCCAACAAATCTGACAAGGTTCAACATCAACAGTGTGAGATGAAGTGGATCTATAATGACAAGTAGCAGCAATGTGACCCCTTTTGTGGCAAATTTGGCAAGTAGGCAGAGAAGAAGACCCAGAAAATTGAGGAAAATGATGAGGCTTGCCAAGAATTCCAGTGGAGTTATTGTAGCCAGATTTACCAGGAAATCTTTGAAAATTATTAGAGGACATTCTGCCTTTACCACGATCTCGAAAATTATTCCCACGAAAACCAGAGGATGGGGAAGAAGCATATTGCATAGGTTGCATAGGAATAGAGGAATAAGGAGCAGAAGGCATACCAGGAGGCATAGACCCTAAAATCGGAGAAGTTGCAACCATAGCAGAAAGCAAGGGAATTTGGTGAGCAGATTCTTCAAGAGTAGATTCCTCTGCCTTGAGCTGAGAACAAAGCTCTTTCATAGACAAAATACTCTCCCGTCCACAAATAATAGCCTTAATAGTGCTGTACTCTGCAGGCAAACCTTTAAGAGTGAGAATGGTGATATCTTCATCAGAGATATCAACCCCAACAGCCGAAAGTTGATCACTGGAATCTTTAATCTTCTGAAGATATTAATCAATAGACTCAGGGCCTTTCTTGATATTCTGAACATCAGTCTTCATTTGGAAAATACTGGTGCGAGAAACACTAGCAAAGCGTTCTTTGAGGTTGAGCCATATTTCTATTTGTGCCCAATAAATCTCGGCCGAGGAAGCTGACCAAAGGAGACTGACCGAAGGAACTTCCTCTTGGCCCTAGCATCTATTTACGGCCGAACATTACAGGTCATCGTTCGCTTCCTTTTGTTAAAAACAAAGGTAGGCTTATAATTCAAAGTCATCACGGCCTCGGTAATCCCGGCCGAGGACAAACTCCTCAGATATACGGCCAAAGTAGGAAAGTCAAGTGGCGTCGCCACGTAGCGTTGAGGTCCCATGCTTCATTTAATGAAGTAATACCTCTGACCACAGCAGAAAGCCCATGATCCACGTAGGAGCATTTAATGAGCCAAGAAAGAGGGGACGTGATTGAAGTCAGATATGGCGAGTAAAATCAGGGATTAGGTGCGAAAATCCCATGATTTTGTAAGGCTAAGTCACCAACCATCAGACCAGGGCATTAAATGCTCCTCCAAGGCCCGAGACGCAGAGCCCACCATCAGAGGAGCGGCCAAGGTCTATAGGTGTCACACCACCATGCTTCACATTCCCAAATGTCAATTCGACTACCCACTCTCTGATCAACCTCACCATGCAGATTTTCAGCCTCTTTGTCTTCTCAAGAACTTCCCTATAAATACCAGGCTCCAACTACGTTTGAAGGGTTCAACACCAAACACAAGCCTCCCACGGAGCAGATTATATTTTCCTGTCATTTACTTCTTGTCATTTACCTTCTTGTAATGCCATTTCAATACTTTTACTTGCTTTCTTAGGAGTAGTGGCAGTTTGTAGGAAAATACTTTCATTAATATATCATACGACCATTGATTTTCAAGGCACTGAAGCACCATTTTTGTTACTCTTTCGTTCATCTCATATATCATACGACCATTGCCACCCAGCGACGTGCCGGAGCACCACCTGAAAACCATCATCAGCACCGCCATTAACGGCCTTGTAGCTCAAGCCGTGAACCTGACGGTCGAGATCAGTTCCTCTCTCGGCCACAATCGTTTGATTGGAAGCCGGACTCAAACAGGCGCATCACTCATCTATCCATCCAATTAACTCATCCTCAAATCCAACCATACCAAACCAAAGAAGGACAATCCATGTTGATGCAGATCCACTTGGCCCGGATCACCAAGCCGTGAGATTCACGAACGCCAACACTTTTTGGCACGCCCAGTGGGACCCTTATAATATCATAAGCCTTATGGTGGAAACTAGATCACAAGCAAAGCTCAAAAACAAGAGAATCGAGATGACTTCGGAAACTCCAGAGTCAACCTCACCGATATCAACCGAGACTGAGCAAACGGCAAGTGTCTCGGTCAGCGTTCCAATAGCGACGGCCATTGCGGCCGAAGCCATGCAAAAGCAATCGCAGATGGAAGAGTTTATGGCTAGGCAAACCTACAGGATAGAGACCTCCTTTATGGCCGCGATGGATAGAATTTCATCGGATTTGCGAACCCTCTTTCAAGAAAGGATGCCGATTGCTTCACCCTCGACTCCCCCCGGAGCTGGACAGAGAAGTCAGGAGCGCGAGAGGGCCGACTCCCATGGTGAAGGCAACAGCCTCGTCGCTGCTAGCCGCATACCGGCGTCAAGCTGTGGTCAGCATTCTCAGCCGCCGATGAATAGTTGGGGGCAGTCCTAGCAAACGTGGGCAAATCCCGGCCCAACCTACCTGGCAGAGATGCCGCACGGCCACATCCAGATAGCTGTGTTGTTAGGACAGCGTAGCCCCACGCACTCCACTGTCCAACAACTCGGCCCTGTCCATACCTTGGCCGCCCAAACGCAGCCCGGCCCAAGCAACGAGACATCATTACAGCAATACGGCCAGAATGGTTTGGCCATTTCTCAACCGTCACAGGCACCGATATTTCTAGTGGGCTCCCAACTTCAGTGCGGTTCGGCCATCCCGACGGCAACACAGACGTACTTAGGTTCCCACTACCAGAGTGGTCCAAACCGACAGCAGGTGGCCACGACTTTACGACAGGTGGACCATACGCACTTCGGCCAAGCCCACAACGCTTGCCAAGTGCAGTTCGGATTAGTCACCACAGCCGAGCCCATCATTCAAATGGCCCAACAGATAAGGCCACAGAACGATGCACAACAGGTCCTGCGGTCGTTTGCGGCCCAACTAGAGCCACCTCTTCAGGGGCTTCGAGTCGAGGACGTTCGACGAATGATCAAGGACGGCCTGGCTCAAAGACGGCCGGAGGCACCGAGGTATACTAAGCCGTACCCACCAGAGATCGACCGAACTCCCCTTCCCTAGAACTATCGACTGCCAGAACTCATGTTGTTCTCCGGGGACGGGCAGACCTCATTTATCGAACACATAGGCCGTTTTACGGCCCAATGTGGAGAGGCCGACTCGGATGCCCAAAAGCTCCGACTATTTGTTCACTCCTTGACCGGCGCAGCTTTCTCATGGTTTATAAATCTTCCATCGAATTTGGTGAGTGACTGGGCTGACATGGAGAGGATATTCCATGAACACTTCTACGAGACCAACCGGGAGATAACGGTTGCCGAACTAGCAAGGATGAGCCAAGCGTCAGACGAGTCGCCTCGCGATTACCTGCAGCGATTCAAGACATGCAGGAATTGGTGCCGAACTAACCTTCCGAAGAGGGAATTCGTCAAGATGGCTGAAGAAGGGCTGGAATTTGAGTATCGAAAAAAGTTCCTGGGGATCGAATTCCGGGACATGCATGACCTGATCAGCAAGGTGGACAAATACGCATCCTTGTTGAAGGAAGAAATGCAGAAGAAAACGGCCTCAAAAGGGACGTATTACAAGAACCCCATCGTCGGCTACGCTGAGGTAGACAGCCCAGTCGAGGCCGAGGAAGGCGAGATTGAAATAAGCTCGGCCGAAGTCAGCATAGACAAATCGTTCGTCTGCAAGGAACTTGTCAAGGTCGACAACAGCCGGACGAAGATTCCCAACGCCAAGTTTGCGGCCCGAGAAACGAAGGCCTACACTTTGGATTTGACAAAAGCCGAGGCCATCTTCGATCTATTTTTAACCGACAAAAAGGTTAAACTGTCCTTCGGTCATAAAATTCCAAAGACCGAGGAGCTCAAAGGGAAGACGTTTTGCAAGTACTACAGCTCCTGGTCACACAGTACTAACAACTGTATCGTCCTATGGGACGTTATTCAGAAACTAATAGACGAGAAGAAACTCCAGTTCTCAGAGAAGGCTGCCATGAAGGTTGACGCCGAGCCGTAACCTCCACCAGTCATCAACATGGTGAATGCCCAGTTTCGGGCAGAATATAGGGAAGTGCATCGGCCTGATAAGGCCACGATAAGTAGCTCGTCGTCAACAACAAAGCCAGCCAAGGAAAAAGAGTTATTGCCCAAACCAAAGCTAGTGTTTTGCGACCGATGCAAGAATGAGATCGGTCGATCCAGGTCACAGGAGAACAAGAGGAAGGCCGCAGAGCCCTCTCGATCAGCCACAAGGAAGTTCGCCAACCGGTCAGCAGGGCCGTATTCGATCGATTAGGGGCATGAATTTCCAGAGTCTAGTATAGCCAAGGAGACGAGGCCACCCCAAGGCATATCAAGACCTTCAGACCTCCGAGCCGTTAACAAAAACCCAACTATGGAGGATGCAAAGGCAAGCTCAGTAGGCCAGGACGCAGTCAACTCAAGTCGAAGGCTCCAAACGCCTGAAGAAGACGATGGCTACGGACGTACGGCCGTCTTTCTTAGCTGGCACTTCTGTGACCAGGGAACCTGCTACTGAGGGCCCGGAGTCATGGCGTCCTCGGCAAGATAGAGACCCCCGCGGAGCGACAAGCACTCCCAAAGAGCCAAAAGCTGCGGCCCCGGACGAGTCGGACAAGGGTGTCATCGATGTTTACCGCGAGAGGGACCCCCCATTCTTGGCCAACGGCCTGTCCTTTCTCATAGAGTTCCATAAAAACCACTCTGCCACTGACCTATACGGCATGGTCCCGGAAAACCAAGAAATCGTGGAGCTGGCCCTTAAGAATACTAAGGCAGAGGGGTTCCTCATTACCAGAGAATCAGATTCGACCATCAAGGTCGTATACCAAGCAAGCCAGGAGGCTAGGGCGAAAAGAATGCCGAGCTCCCAACCTAACTTAGGAGGATTGGAGGCTAAGGCTCCTTTCAGCAAAGGCGATCTGGAATACCTCCGCCAGTACTTTACCGTAATCCCGGCCGACTCCATCTTCGGTCTGACGACCGAGGAAAAGGTCAGGGGCAGCCGATTGGACGAGTACCTAACGGCTAGAGACGCATTAACTAAGGCTAGACGAGCCCTCAAGGGAAAGTCTAAGGTTTCAGGCCTCTCTGCGGCCAAAACTTCCACGACCAACATCCCTAAGACCGCGTGTCCTGTGATTGACGGCCTCGTCAGTCCCTTCTCCGGGTTCGAAACCAAGGACGACCCCACATTAGGGATCTCTGATGAGGAATATGAGGGGATTCTAGGGATGGTTGAGGAAAGAACCCTCACCACGAACGACTACGCGGCCGAAAAGGAAGCTGATAAAGGAAACCTGCACGGGCCGAAAGAAGTAAACATAAACATGGTGTTGGTTTTACCTGCCGAGTTCACGACCCCAAGGGGACAGAGCAGCGGCCTAGACAATGACGTGTTCGAAGAGCAGTCTGATCAGAAGTCGAAGACGAAGGAAGAGTTACTAGCCGTAGCCTTTAACGAGGTAATACCTAGAGATGAGCCAAACAAATACCGGCACCTAAAGCCGTTATACATCTCGGCTCATGTGGAGGGGATACCCGTGTCTAAAGTCTTTGTTGACTGTGGAGCCACGGTCAATATTCTCCCCTATTCTCTAATGAGGAAGTTAGACAAATCGAAGGAAGACATCATCCCCAGCGACGTGGTCATGAGCAGCTTTGTTGGTGATAAATCAAAAACCATTGGGGTATTACCGTTGAAGATTACCGTGGCCGATCAGACGAGAGTCGCGGCCTTCTACGTAGTCGAGTCTAGTGTAGACTACAACATATTGCTTGGCCGTGATTGGATTCATCAATCCGGATGCATACCGTCCTCTCTTTTCCAATTGTTGTTCTTTTGGGAGAGGCCGTTCGAAGCAAATGCCGTGCAAGCCCGAATTTATGACGACGATGACGTCGGATGGGTCGTCCTCATCGGCCACGATGAGAGCGGCCGACCAACTAGGACGACGGCCCAGAAAGTCCTGGAGTTAGGTGCCGAGAATGTCCGACAGGATTCGGCGCGCGAAGTATTGATCGACCTTACTAGCCTTTAAAATGATGGACAAAGCCACCAAGGAAGAAGGAGCAGTGGCCGTGACTGACTTGCTGGAAAGACTGCTGGAGCATTGGGCGGAGGAATCCTTACGGCCAAACTCACCAATCAACCTGATCGAGTTCCTCCACGAATCAAATGACGGGGACATCTTGACCATCGATGACTTGGAAACGGCGCTTGCCGAGATGGAGGATGACTACCCTGAGGTTTAGGACCCCTTATTAGAAATAAATGTAGGAACGGAGGCCGAACCACGGCCTCTTTTTGTAAGCCAACTTTTGAATCCGGAGTTAAAGGCCGAGATTATCGGCCTGCTCCATGAATATAAAGATTGTTTTGCCTAGGATTATCATGAGATGCCTGGTTTACCGAGAGGTTTGGTCGAGCATGAGTTAAAAATCAAGGAAGGTTTTAAACCTTTCCAACAGCTGCCAAGGCGATTCTCGACCGACTTACAGCTAAAAGTCAAGGAAGAAATTGAACGACTCCTTAAAGCCAGTTTCATCCGTACGGCTCGGTACGTCGAATGGTTGGCTAATATCGTGCCGATTTTGAAAAAGACCGGGGCTTTGAGGGTTTCCACTGACTACAGAAATCTGAACCTCGCGACCCCCAAAGATGAGTACCCCATGCCTATGTCCGATCTCTTAGTCGACGGGGCTGCAAAGCACAAGCTCCTTTCCTTCATGGACGGCCATGCTGGTTATAACCAGATCTTTATTTCCGAGGGTGATGTCCACAAGACGGCATTCAAATGTCCGGGGGCTATTGGAACCTACGAATGGGTGGTCATGCCTTTCGGTCTGAAGAATACCGGCGCGACGTACCAACGGGCCATGAACCTTATTTTCCACGACCTCATTGGACGAACCGTTGAAGTCTACATCGACGACGTGGTCGTCAAGTCCCTATCAAAGGCCAACCACATAGGACATCTCCGTCAGACATTTGACCGGATGAGAGTGCACGGCCTGAAGATGAACCCTAAGAAGTGCGCTTTCGGTGTCACGGCCGGGAACTTCCTCGGTTTCTTGGTCCATCAACGAGGGATCGAGGTGGATAAAAATAAAGCCAAGGCCATTATGGTGGCACCTCCACCAAAAACCAAAAAGGAGCTTCAGTCCTTCCTCGGCAAAGTCAACTTCTTACGGCGCTTTATATCCAACTTGGCAGGAAAGATTTGGCCATTAACCCCTCTCCTCAAGCTGAAGGACATGGAACATTTCGTGTGGGGAGCCGAGCATCAGACGGCCCTTGACGAAATCAAAAGATATTTATCTCAGCCGCCGGTTCTTATGCCACCAAGAAGGGGGAAACCCCTGAGGCTCTACATCTCGGCTTCCGAAGGCTCCATCGGCTATCTACTGGCCCTGAACAACAAGTCTGAGCGTGAACAAGCTGTCCACTATCTTAGCTGCACCCTTAACGCGGCCGAGCTAAACTATTCACCAGTCGAAAAGTTGTGCTTGGCACTTTATTTCGCCGCTACTAAATTACGCCATTATATGCTTCCTTCGGTCGTTCAGATTATCTCCAAGACCGATCTCATCAAATATATGCTCACCAGACCGACAGGATTCGGCGCGCGAAGTATTGATCGACCTTACTAGCCTTTAAAATGATGGACAAAGCCACCAAGGAAGAAGGAGCAGTGGCCGTGACTGACTTGCTGGAAAGACTGCTGGAGCATTGGGCGGAGGAATCCTTACGGCCAAACTCACCAATCAACCTGATCGAGTTCCTCCACGAATCAAATGACGGGGACATCTTGACCATCGATGACTTGGAAACGGCGCTTGCCGAGATGGAGGATGACTACCCTGAGGTTTAGGACCCCTTATTAGAAATAAATGTAGGAACGGAGGCCGAACCACGGCCTCTTTTTATAAGCCAACTTTTGAATCCGGAGTTAAAGGCTGAGATTATCGACCTACTCCATGAATATAAAGATTGTTTTGCTTGGGATTATCATGAGATGCCTGGTTTACTAAGAGGTTTGGTCGAGCATGAGTTAAAAATCAAGGAAGGTTTTAAACCATTCCAACAGCCGCCAAGCCGATTCTCGACCAACGTATAGCTAAAAGTCAAGGAAGAAATTGAACGACTCCTGAAAGCCGGTTTCATCCGTACGGCTCAGTACGTCGAATGGTTGGCTAACATCATGCCAGTTTTGAAAAAGACCGGGGCTTTGAGGGTTTGCACTGACTACAGAAATCTAAACCTCGCGACCCCTAAAGATGAGTAACCCATGCCTATGTCCGATCTCTTAGTCGAAGGGGCCGCAAAGCACGAGCTCCTTTCCTTCATGGACGGCCATGCTGGTTATAACCAGATCTTTATTGCCGAGGGTGATGTCCGAAAGACGACATTCAGATGTCCGGGGGCTATTGGAACCTACGAATGGGTGGTCATGCCTTTCGGTACCCCATGCCTATGTCCGATCTCTTAGTCGACGGGGCTGCAAAGCACAAGCTCCTTTCCTTCATGGACGGCCATGCTGGTTATAACCAGATCTTTATTTCCGAGGGTGATGTCCACAAGACGGCATTCAAATGTCCGGGGGCTATTGGAACCTACGAATGGGTGGTCATGCCTTTCGGTCTGAAGAATACCGGCGCGACGTACCAACGGGCCATGAACCTTATTTTCCACGACCTCATTGGACGAACCGTTGAAGTCTACATCGACGACGTGGTCGTCAAGTCCCTATCAAAGGCCAACCACATAGGACATCTCCGTCAGACATTTGACCGGATGAGAGTGCACGGCCTGAAGATGAACCCTAAGAAGTGCGCTTTCGGTGTCACGGCCGGGAACTTCCTCGGTTTCTTGGTCCATCAACGAGGGATCGAGGTGGATAAAAATAAAGCCAAGGCCATTATGGTGGCACCTCCACCAAAAACCAAAAAGGAGCTTCAGTCCTTCCTCGGCAAAGTCAACTTCTTACGGCGCTT